TCATGAACCTAAACATGAGAAACCGCGCTGCAATCCTGCAATACGCAAGAAACAGCAACTTTCAACAGCTACCATACTTTCTACTGGCGTCGACCAGGTGCTTTCCAACATGTTCGAAGCGCCCCAAGCCTCTTTACAATTCATGGCCACTCTTGGAACCGTCTGGAGCGAAGCCTAATCTCGAGCCATCCCTGGCGTAGGCTTCGTCATCACCAGGCTTTCAAACTGGCCTGCCACATTTCCAGGAAGGCTAGAAAGCCCAAACAAGCTCCCAGGCCGCCCAGACAAGCTTCCTGGCCGCCCAGGCAAACCCCGACGCCGCACAGCGACACCCCCCCACCCTTCCGCCACCCCACCCATCCCCAGTCCTTCCCAATTGCTCCGGCAGTGTTCAGCATAGCCCCTGCCGATAGAAATGCAGCTCCTGTCTGCAATGCTCAAGGCGAACAGCCACGACAAGGACATCCTCTACAATTGCGCCCATGGGCAAAAACCGCGCGTGTTTAGCGACTCGATGAGGGTGTCGAAAACATGTTGCTCCTGTCGACACCCCTTCAGTCGGTAAGCGCGGTTAACACAGCATCGAACGGCTCCCCTGCCGTCATGCCCTGACAGAACCCTGCGGCGGTCGACAGCAGACTGCTCCTGACCCCATCGCTCCTGTCGGGACAGCGCTGCTCCAATCGACGTGTTCCATCTTGCAGCCGTGCCCAGGCCAGACTGCCACATTAGCAAGCCAGATGAGTCCAATCAGCCCCTGCAGATCGGCCCTGCAGTGTCAAACGTTCCATACTCGAAGTAAGGCAGCGTCCTTCTTCAGGCTGCCAGGGAAGAGCTGCATAACATTGGATGCACGCAAGTTAGCGCTACAACACAACGGTGGCAACCTGTGGCACATTGAAATCAGGTTTTAGGCAACATGGGCACCCATTGCGTCAACCTTTGATGACTTGATGGGTCGCACCTGTGTTCTAGGTGGCACTTGCACATGTTTGCCGTGCGTCTGTGTGTCAACCTGGATGAAATCCAATAGCGCAATCCAGAACTCCTGCGGCGCTTATCCCTACCGATGTATTTCACGCGAGTGTTGACACGTGCCAGACATCGACGTCGTCTGCTAATTTTACGCCCAAGCGTTCGCCCACACCGAATACGAATTCTACATTGTTACCCGTTCACATAAAAGTAGCTTCATATGTGATCGAGGGGCGCTCGTGGTTGCCACCCCAAGAGCTCGACAAAACTCGTGTTTCAAACGCGGTGGCTACAAACATTCTCGACGGAGAATTTGAAATGTGGATCGAAGCCGTGTTCAAAGCTCTGGTCGGTTTTGTTGTCGCAAGGGGTGGTCGGAGTGCTAGTCGCGACAAGCTACTCGGACCCACTGAACACATGAACCGCCTCCTCAAACCGTGTTCCTTACCAATAAATGGCCTGCACCCCCAGTCGTGTCGGTAGGGCGGGCCAAGCGTTTCGCCTGAGACTACCCCACAATGCATGATCCTGAAGCCGAAAGTGCACAACCATTTTAAAGATGGAGGGCGGGAGGTTTTCAAAATAATGTGGCTCTCGCCCTCGCGCCGCGCACATCCGTCTTAAAGTTTGCAACTACTTCGAGAGCGGAGGGCTGTCCACTTTATATATATATATATATATATAATTTAGCAAAAAAAAAAAAAAAAAAAAAACACGTGGCTCTCGTTTCAGCGCCGTGCGCGGTTGTTTCAAACTCCTGCAGCTGCTTCAACTGTTCGTAGGGCTGAGGTCCCAGGACTGGTGTTCTGGCACGATCTAGGGTTGTCAGGACGCAGCAACCACGTTGATTCGCGTCGCTGGTATCCCAGGACTTGTGTGTTGGCACGACTCAGGTTTCTCAGACGGTTGTCTTTCGATGAGGCACTTCCCGCACTGAAAATCAATTATAGCAGGGACCTGCGAAGAGGGAACTCGGAGGGAAGGTTTAGCACAACATCGTCGATGCGTCTTGGGCTTGCACTGGTCTCCTTCCTCCTCCTCCTCCTCCTCCTCCCTCCTCCCCCTCCTCCTCCTCCACCACCACCTTCCTCCTTCTCCTCCTCCTCCTCCTCCTCCTCCTCCTCCTCCTCCTCCCATTCCCCTCCCCATCCTCCTCCTCTTCATTCTCCTTCTCCTCCCCCTCCTCCTCCTCCTCCTCCTCCTCAAGCTGCTCCCCCCTGCACCCGCTCGCTCCGCTTCGTCATGTTTCCGCCCAGCTCCTCATCATCCGCATCGTCCTCCTCATCCTCGCTCCTCCTCCTCCTCTCCTCCCCCTCCTCCCCTTTCTTCCTTGCTCCTCCCCCTTTCAGTTCCCCCCCCCCCCCGCCCCCACACCCACCCACCCCACTCCACCCACCCCACCCCCGCCTGCACACCATGCTTCTCCTCCTCCTCCTCCCTCCTCCTCCTCCTCCTCCCCCTCCTCCTCCTGCTCCTCCCCTCCTCCTCCTCCTCCTCTCACCCCTCCTGTTCCCCCTCGTCCTTCCCCCTCCTTCCCAAGCCTCGCTTCTCATCTTCTTCCTCCTCTTCCTCCTCCTCCTCCTCCTCCTCCCCCCCTCCTCCCCCTCCTCTTCTTTTTGTTAGTTCTCCTCCTCCTCCTCCTCCTCCTCCTCCTCCTCCCCTACTCCTCCTACTCCTCCCCTTCCCCCTGTTCTCATCCTCCCCTCCTCCTCCTCCTCCTCCTCCTCCTCCTCCTCCTCTTCCCCCTCTCTATCATCATCCTCCAACTCATTCACACACGCACAAGCACAAGCACAACACGCGCACACTCACACTCACACTCACACTCACACTCACACTCACACTCACACTCTCACACACACACACACACACACACACACACACGCACGCACACACACACACACACACACACACACACACACACACACACACACACACACACACACACACACACACACACACACACACACACACACACACACACACACACACACACATACATACACACACAGACGCACACGTCCCAAATCCACACCTCAGAAGTCCCTCGAGATGCTCCTTTCCACTACGTGAGACGTCCCCTTGAATGACGAGCGCCCAGTAGGCCCGCCATTCAGGCGGGACCCCGTCCTGTAAAGCGTCTACAACTCATCCTTCTGGCTGTAGCAGCGCGACAAGGCAGGATGATAAAGTTCAAGGGGGTTCCAGCCGCAGCCCCTTTTCGAAGACGATCTGCCCTCCACCCACAATTTCACGATCCTGGGCATCAAATTTGCGGAAATCTCACGAGAGAGCCCCATTGTGAAACGGAACCGCCCTCCACCTGTATAACTGCAGCAGCATGTGAACTTCTGGGCCATCGAATTTCATGAAGTATCAAGCGGCAGCCGCATCTTGGAACGAGCCGTTCTTCCACCTTTGTAGTTGTTGGAAACTCAGAACGAATGCGCGCGGCGCCAAGGCGAGAGCCGCATGTTGAAATTGAGAGGGCATCCATCCTCGTAGCTCTTGGAACGAGTTGAAACGAATGTGCGCGACTCGAAGGCGACAGCCGCATGGTGCAAGCGACCCGCATTACCTTATAGCCGTTGGAAGTTTCAACAAGGAATGTGCGCGGCTCTAAGGCGACAGCCGCATTTTGAAAACCAACTGTCGTCCACGCTTGTAACTGTTGAAGCTTCTTGTTCGACAAGCGCGTGCTTCAGGATACTACGCTGCAAGTAAGTCTGAAGCGAAACGTCCGGCCCAGCCTACGGACACGCCTGGTGGTACGACAGGGGGGATCTGATGAAAGGAACAGGGGGGGATTGGAGGACGGAGGAAGAGGAGCAGCTTCTCAGGGCTCTTCATCAGGGGACTAAGGAGGATGAGCAAGAGGTGCACATGGAGGAGAAGGGGCGCACGTAGCTCGTACATGGAGGAAAGGAGGCAGAGGGGGAGGAGGAGGAGGAGGAGGAGGAAGAGGAAAACAACACATAAGAAGCAACATATAAATAATACTAGGACTAAGAATACTACTATTAATGAACTAATAACATAATCATAGTAGTGATAACAATGCTGATGACCTTATTAATAATAACGGTAACATGTTTAACATTACTATTAATAAGGAAGAAGAAGAAGAAAAAGAGGAGGGAGGAGGAGAAGACGATGAAAAAGAGAAAGATAATTAGCAGAAGAGGAAGGATAGGAGGTAAAGGGAGGAGGAAGAAGAGGAGGGAGGAGGCGGAGGAGGAGGACGACGACGACCCCCCCCACTGTTCTTGAAGGCGTTCGGCGCCCTTGCGCTCCTCCGCCTCGCGTCCGCGCGGGCGCGCTCGACCGCCACCTCCCAGCCCCCCTTTGCTCCAGCTGCTGTTACTATCCTTCCTACTCCTCCTCCTCCTCCTCCTCCTTCTCCTCCTCCTCACTCTCCTCCTCCTCCTCCGTAGCCATTTTGGCTCAAGGCTCTTTTAGAACCCGCTTGGGCTCTAAGGGGGCTGAGAGCCCCGCAGCTTGGGCTCAAAGCCCCCGTGCTCTTCAGCAATCATTTCACGTCCGCCTGGGTCAGCCTGCCAAGGCGTCCCAGGCTTGTGCGCTCGTCCTACGGAGCCCTGCGAGGGCCATCAGTGCCCGCCATGGCGCCAGCTCCGTTGTGGAAGCAGCCTCCCCAGTCCGCAGGCGGTCCAGATTGGGGGGGTCGGGCAGACTCCTGGTCTGTCGCGACAGCGGGTAACAAGGCGGGCAAATCTAAGAAGAAGAACTCCTCCTACACAGTGTGCGCTTGCGGCCATTGGACTTATGACCGTCTTCTTGCACGTCGCCTCTACTGTGTTGGGTGTGGTGAGCCTTTGCAGCCAGGCTCGGGCGCGCGAGGCGCTGCCGCTGGCGGACCCGGCGGAGTCGGCAATGGTCAAGGATCTCCTGTGGTCGTCGTCGAGGACGCCAGCGCGGTGGCCATCAGGAAGGCTGCTGGTCTCCTCCCCCCAGACGAAGCTACTGCGCTGCTCAAGGATACTGGAGTCGAGTTGGTTCCTCCGAAGGCGCCCGAGTTGCCGGCCTTGCCGGAGTCGGAGATCACGGCTGCGGAGGCTGCCAAGCGCTGGGCCAACAAGGCGCTCGACAAGGCCTTGCACGAGCAGCTCAAGGCGGAGCAGTACCTCCAGGAGGCCCAGCAGAAGGTCGACGAATGTCTCCGCAAGGAGCGGCAGGCTCAGCGTGACCTGGAGGAGGCCACCAAGCGCCACGCCAAGAAGGTGCTCCCTGCAGGCTTTGAGGAGAAGGCGCCTACCGCCTCGAGCAAGTCGGTGGTCCACATCGAAGCCTTGCTCGTTGACCCCGAGTCCTTGGAGCTCGATGTTGGGGAGACGGTGGACCTCTCTGGCCCAGAGTTCTCGGACCATGATCGCGAGCAGTTCGAGAGTTGGGTCACCTCGCACAAGCAGAACTGCGCCAAACTCCTCAAGCAGGCCTTTGAGAGCATCCAAGAGGAGGCCAGGAAGGCCCAAGCAGAATATAAGAAGCAGACTGAGATGTTATCTAAGAAGCGTAAGGTCGGAGAGGCAGGCGAGGCTGCCCCACCGGCTGCCCCTGCTGCGCCAGCCTCCTCTGGGCAGGCTGCGGCAGGCGGCGGACGCGCCCCTGCGGCGGGCGCCCCAGCGGCGTCGCAGGAGAGTGCGGGCGAGGTGCGCAGAGTGCCGGTGCCAGCCTCTGGTGATGAGGACCTTGACGAGATGCAGAAGCGCAAGGCCGCTGCACTTGAGGCTGCCAAGGCCAGGGCGGCCAGTGCTGAGGCCAAGGTCGAAGGAGCTGCTGCTGCCAAAGGGGCCTGTTCCTGACGGGCTTGCCCTCGTCTATGGCAACATCAGTGCTTGGGGCCCCCAGGCTGAGAAGTGGTTGAAGGAATGTCGAGCGGACATCGTGGTGTTCGTGGAGACGCGCACTCGTGACTCCAAATTTCGTGACATGCTCAAGTGCGTGGGCAAACTAGGCTGGTGCTCGGTTGGCGGAGAGGCCGACGCCACGGAAGCTGACGACTCCAGTGCAGGAGTTCTGATTTTGGCCAAGAAGAACCTTGGACTGTCTTCTCTGTTCTTGGAGGCCTCGGGCCGTTGGCACTCCAGCAAGTGTGCGAGGTGGTGTGTCGCCACGGTCAGGCTCAAGCATGTGACCCTGACGGTCGTCCCCATCTACTTGATCTCAGGTGTGAGGTCTACATGTGTGTCCCGCAACCTTAGCCTCTTGTCCGAGATTGGCTCCAGGCTCTCGCAGGTTGCTGGGCCGCTTCTGCTGGTGGGCGACTGGCAGATGGAAATTTCCGACCTCGCGTCCACGGGCTTCATGAAGGAGCTCGGGTTGGTCGAGGTGCCCAGCCCAGACGTCTCTGTAACTTGCACTGGGGGGCGAGGAGCCGCGAGTAAGATCGACTATTCCCTCGTGAATGCGGGCTTCGCCCAGGCTGTCAAGTTCGTCGGCGTGGACCAGAGTGCTCCTTGGGGCACGCACTTGGCGCTGCAGTATTGGATTGCGTCGCGTCCTCGATCCATTCATGGCTGGAAGCTGGTTGCCCCCCGTGCCCTGGACGTCGCGGCCAAGCCTGACAGTATTATCGACTTGGGCTGGGACGACGCGCGGGAGCAAGCCAGGCTTCTGCGGTGTGAGAGGCCGGCCCGTTTTCAGTCAAATTTTAATGCTGCCAGAGATGCCCTGGCACAGCACGATACTCCGAAGGTATCCTTGCAGCTCGGCCAAGAGCTCAGCGAATGGGCCTTGGCGCTTGAGCTAGTGCATTGTGGGAAAAAGGGCATCCCAGGCGCTGATTGGGAACGGTACCTCGGCCGTTGTCAACAGCCTCGCATCCGTTGGGTGCCGATCGTTCCCAAGAGTTCCGAAGGGCCCCCTCTGGCCGACCGGCATGCACGTTTCTGGGCGGCTGTTTCAGCCCAGCTTCTTTATTTAATGCGGCTGATCGATCCCGATTGTGATCCCAATGAAGCGGATGCCCCCCTTCAGAAGCATTCTGGCCAGTTTTGGGCTCTGGTGAGAGGGCTTCGTGACCTGACCCCCCCCGAGGCTCTCGATCCGGGGGACGCTGGGGAGGCGGCCGCCTTGGGAAGGTGGGCCTCATGGCTCACATCTATCTCTACCCTGGACCCTCCGAGTTTTCAGCAACTCCAGGAGGACGCCCAGGAGCGGGCCAATAAGGCGGCCAGGCGAGCCGCTTCGGAAGCGCGGGCCCGTTGGAAAGTCTGGCTGTCTGAGGCCCTTGCGGGGTCAGCGTCGGCGGCGCATAGGCTGCTCAAGCCCAACGTGGGCCCCGAGGTGCCGAAAACAGAACCCATTTTTCAAGGTCACCCGGCTACCACGGCCAGCGAGATGCTGGAAGTCGAGTCGGAGGCCTGGGGCAAGATTTGGAGTAGGCACTCTCGGAAGGAGGCTGTGGAAGCTCTGGCTACCTGGAGGGTAGCGGCTCGAGCGTCTCCTTTGTCCGACCCCATTTCGTCCCAGCAGGTGCTAGCAGCTCTTAAGACGATGCCTGACCGTCGCGGCAAGGGAGCTGATGGGATGCCACCGCGTCTGGTCAAGGATGCGCCTCCTGAGGCTATTGCTGCCTTGGCCAGCCTTCTGACTAGAATCGAGCATGAAGTGACTTTACCTTTTCAGGAACTGTTTAATGTTATTGCCCTCCTGGACAAGGAGGACGGAGGCCTGCGCCCTATTGCCCTCCTTAGTTTTTGTTACGTGATTCTGTGTAGGATTCGCAAGCCTGTGATTGGAGCTTGGGATCACGAAGCCCACGGGTCCTGGGACAAGACTGTGGGCTCGTCGGCCGAACATGCGGGCTGGCTCGATGAACTGGAGACCGAGTTGGCTCTCCTAGGAGGTTTCTGTCTTGCCGGGGGCTTGCTTGATATGCGCAAGTTCTATGACCTGGTCTGTTTGCCTGACCTCGCCCAAGCTTCTCACGACCTCCACTATCCTCTCCGCCTCCTCGTCCTGGCCCTGGATGTGTATCTTGGGCCCAGGATGTTGACGCTCCAGCAGCAGGTCCACCCAGGACTTCTTCCTGGGGGTGGGATCTTGGCGGGGTGTGGCCAGGCGGTCTCCCAGGCCCGGTCGTATTTATATGAGCCTTTGGAGGCTACTAACAATTCGGCTCCAGGGCTCAGGCTTCGGGAATGGGTGGACGACATCTCTTTCCGCCTCCCTGGTTCGGAATATTCCATTGGCATTTCTTTTTCGATAGTCTTGCGTGCTCTTCTTCAGGGCCTTCGCAGACGTAAGTGTGTGCTAGCGCTCCCGAAGTGTTATTTGATGGCCTCCTCGGCCAGCCTCCGCCGCAAGCTAGCCGGCTGGGCGGAGGAAGCTGGGGGAGAAGCTCCTCAGCTAGGCCAGGCCACCGCGGCCCGAGATTTGGGCCACGACACGACCATGGGCGCCTCCAGGTCGGTCAAGGTTAGGAAAGCCCGATTTTTGAAGGGCAGGCGTGCGGCTCTCAAGATTGCTGGTCTAGTTAGGACCTCTCCTAAGTCCTCGAAGCTGTACCTTTCCAACGCTTTTCCGAAAGCTGTCTGGGCCCCTGAAGTCCATGGGCTGGCCCCCAGCATGGTCAAGCAGCTCCGTGGACAGGCGCGGCTGAGCAGTAAGTGCCCGCAGAGAGGCTCTTGCGCCACCACGGCTATTCGAATCAGTCTGGGCTCTAGCCGTGACCCTGCTATAATGTACATCAGGCGTCTCGTCGGAGCTTGGTTCGCTAGAGTTTTTCGGTCCCCTGAGCTAGTTGCACGTATCGATGCGGTGTGGTCGGAATCTCTCGAGCGTGTGAAAAAAGGCTGGAATTTAGTTCGGGGGCCCCTAGGTGCTTTTCAAGCCTCAATTTTGGACCTCGGCTGGAGCTGCCCGTCGATCACGAGCTTGGTGGAGCCCAACGGTGACGAATGGGCCCTTCAAGATGCCGGCCTTGCTCCCCCCTCCTGCCTTCTTGATGCTTTCGAGGCCTCTGTGGAGGCTTCGATTTGGGAGCGAGCGGCGAAGCACCTTGATGGAGCTGGCTCTGAAGCTGGGGTCTGGTGGCAGCATGTAGTCTCCCTTGCCTCCAGGCTGGAAGCCGATGATAACCGCGCGATGGCGAGTATGGTCCGTCTCATTGCCTGTGGAGGCTATTGGACTGAGCAGCGTAGGTTCGAGGCAGGCTACCGCTCGGATCCGGACTGCCAGAGGTGCAAGGCGGCTCCGGAGACCAGCTCCCATAGATTTTGGAGCTGCCAGTGCAACACGTATGAGGAGGCTTGGGCTCTCCAAGTAGGCAGTCAGCCCCCCCCGCCCGAAGTCGTGGCCACCAACCAGCTGATCCCCGAAGCCCTCCAGGAGGTTGGTAGCTGCCCAGTGTTCTGGTGCCGTGGACTGGTCCCCCTTGCTTGGTTGGAGCTCCCTCCTCCTCCCTCGTCCAAGGACCATGTCTGGATTCGACGGCCTGAGGGCACGCACCTCCCTGGGGGCATTTATGGGGTCGATGGCTCAGGGGGCATTTGGTCAAAGAGCTCACTTCTTCGGCGGGTGTCTTGGGCCTTTGCACGCCTGGATCCTGAAGGTCTTGATGGCCTAGGTTGGGACTCGGGGTGCACCGGTGTGGTCGACAGCCCTAAGCAGTCTGTGCCGAGGGCCGAGTTGTGTGCTATTGTCGAGTGCGTTAGGGCTGTCGACCATTCAGCGGATCTTTTTATTTGGTGTGATCACATCAATCATGTTCGATCCCTCAGCAAAGGGAGACACCACTGTTTTAAATTAGAGCACGCGGATTTGTGGCATGAGCTGCATGCTCTCCTGCACGTGCGTTCAGGCAGTTTTGAGCTGCAGCATGTACCGTCCCACTTGGCCGATGATGAGACTAAGTTTCAGAGGCTGGTTGCAGGTGCCCCCCCTGGGGCTATCTTCATCAACTCAGTAGCGGACGGCCTTGCGGACTCTAGGTGCGAGCTTTGCCAGATCGCCCCTGATGTTTGCAAGAGAGCTCTCGACCTCGTCGCCAAGGCTGAGTCGGTTCTTCTCCGCAATGCGAGTTTGTCAATTGCTGCTGCCTCATGTCCTCGTGTGCCGCTCCGAGAGGTCAAGCCCGTGCCAGTCCCTCCCGATGAGAGGCGGACTAAGAGGCGCGAGGCGGCAGCGGCAGCCTCCTCCCACCGTTTTCAGGCCATAGGTGCGGGCTGGCGTTGTCTCAGGTGTGGCAAGCTGGTCCTCTCCAGCAGCTCATCCATCATGGCCTACCTGAGGACTGCCTGCCCCGCCCGCCCCCCCGGTCCCGCCCAAGAGCCTCCTGATGCAGAAGCTGGAGGTGGAGGAAGGAGGCCAGGAGCTGTTGTGCTCTCGGATAAGTTTTTAAGGCTTCCGCCCATAGATGAGGCTCTTTTCAGGACTGTCTGTGGATCGCACCCGCCGAGGCGTCTTGAAGGCAGGGGATTTCTTGGCAAGATGCTTCACACCTCCCACGACTTGTGGGAGAAAGGCTCATATTGCTTTTGTAGTAAATGCGGACGGTACACGTCCTCTGCGAATCCTGGTTTTCTAACAGGTCTGTGTGAAGTCGACCAATATGGTCGACATGATCTTGTCAAGGCGCAGTACACTTCGCTGCAGCGCCTCAGGAAGGGATTGCCTCCCAGGTGCGGAATCAGCTCCTGGGGTGAAGGGTACAGTGGGCACAATGCCCCTACACCCTCAACCTCCTCTTGCAGTGGGGGTGGTCGGATCTCTTCGTGATCCGTGTCTGTTTCACCAGGCGTTCAATCTCAGGTTTCCTGATGCTTGTGCTGCCTGCAGCTCCTAGCAAAAACTCTCCTCCTCCTCCTCCAATCCCTCCTCCTCCTCCTCCTTCTCCTCCTCCTCCGCCTCCTCCTCCTCCCCTTCCTCCTCCTCCTCCTTCTCCTCCCCACCCCCCTCCTCACTCTTCCTCCTCCTCCTCCTCCTCATCCTCCTCCTCTTCAACCTACTCCTTGTCCCATTCCTGCTGGTCCTGCTGGTCCTGCTGTTGCGGCAGCTGCTGCCAGACCACCTCTGCTCCAACTGCTGCTGCTGTCCTTCCTCCTCCTCCTCCTCCTCCTCCTCCGCCTCCTCCTCATCATCATCATCATCAGCATCAGCATCACATCAGCATCAGCATCATCAGCATCAGCATCAGCATCAGCATCAGCATCATCATCATCATCATCATCATCATCATCATCATCATCATCATCATCATCATCATCATCATCATCATCATCATCATCATCATCATCATCATCATCATCATCATCATCATCATCATCATCATCATCATCATCATCATCATCATCATCATCATCATCATCATCATCATCATCATCATCATCATCATCATCATCATCATCATCATCATCATCATCGCCCTTCTCTTCCTCCTTCTCCTCCTCCTCCTCTTCCTCCTCCGCCGCCTCCTCTTCATCCTCCTCTTCCTCCTCCTCCTTCCAGTCACCCTCCTCACTCGTTCTCCTCCTCTTCCTGCTCCTGCTCCTGCTCCTGCTCCTGCTCCTGCTCCTCCTCCTCCTCATCCTCCTCCTCCCCTCCTCCTCCTCCTCACGTCTCCCTCCTCCTGCTCCTGCTCCTGTTTCTGCTCCTCTCCTCCTCCTCCTCCTCCTCCTCCTCCTCCTCCTCCTCAACCTACTCCTTATCCTCCTTCCTGCTGTTCCTGGGCTTGCTGCTGCTGTTGCTGCTGCTGCCGCTGCTCCTCCTCCTTCTCCTCCTCCTCCTCCTCATTCCTCTTTCTGCAGCGTCCTGCTCCTGTTCCACCTGCTCCTGCTCCTGCTCCTGCTCCTGCTCCTGCTCCTGCTCCTGCTCCTGCTCCTGCTCCTGCTCCTGCTCCTGCTCCTCCTCCTCCTCCTCCTCCTCCTCCTCCTCTCCTCCTCCTCCTCCTCCTCCTCCTCCTCCCTCTTCCTCCTCCTCCTCCTCCTCCTCCCTCCTCCTCCTCCTCCTCCTCCTCCTCCCTCCTCCTCCTCTGTGTCCTGCTGCTCCTTCCTCTTCCTGCTCCTGTTCCTCCTCCTACTCCTCCACTTCCGCCTCCTGCTCCTGTTCCTCCTGCACCTCGTCCTCCTGCTCATGCCTCTGCTCCTGGTTATCCTGCGTATGTTCCTGCTACTGCCGCTACGTGAGTTTCCTCATCTATAGCGCTTCCCTGTCGCGCCCCGAGGCTGGTGGGAAAGGCGGGGCCTGAGACTTTCACTTCGTTTATGATCAGGGCGGGCGGTTTTCAAGATGTGGCTCTCGCCTTAGCGCCGCGCAAATTCGTTTAACCAATTGCAAGAGCTTCATGCATTGAGGGCGGGGTGTGTTAAAGATGCGGTTCTCGCTTTAGCGCCGCGCACGTGCGTCCTAAAAGTTTGCAAGAGCTTCACGGATGGAGGGAAAGCTATTTCCCAAACGTGGTTCTCGCCTTAGCGCCGCGCACAATCGTCTGAAAACATGGAATAACTTCGTGGCTGGAGAGCGGCTCCTCTTCAAAACGGGGCTCTCGACAAAGCGCCGCACACATTTGTCTCAAACATTTGCAAGAGGTTCACGGGTTCTCGTGGTCAGTGAACCAGAAATGTCGTTTTGGAGCGATTCTGGATTGTCAGGGCGCGACAGGAACGACGATTCGCGGTGTTTAACTCCCAGAGATGTTCTGGCACGACTCAGGATCGTCAAAACGCAACAGTCAGGGTGTTCCGTGACGTTGAAATACTGAGAACGCGGTGTTTTGGCATGCTTCAGCATCGTCAAGCGGTTGTCCCACAACGGTGCAGTTCCCTCAGTGGAAACGAACCCCTGTATGGGGCCTATGAAGAGGGAGCTTGGAGGGAGGGTTCAGTCCAACATCGCTAATGAGCCTTAGGTATACACTGGTCATGATCCTCCTCCTCCTCCTCATCCTCCTCCTCCTCCTCCTGCTACTCCTCGACCTCTTCTCATCCTCCTCCTTCTCATCCTCCTCCTTCTGCTGCTGGTGCTTCTGGTATTGCTGGTGTTGCTGCTGCTGCTGCTGCTGTTACATCACTCTTCCTTATGCATATTTCCTTCCTGTCGCACCCCGACACGGGTCGGTATGACGGGCCCGGCGTTTCGCCTAAAACTTCCCCACCACTCATGATCGTGAAGCGTGAAATTTGCAAGAATTCCACGGACGGAGGGCGGGCCCCTTTCAACATGTGGCTCTCGCCTTAGCGCCGCATGCACTCGTGTAAAACAATCACGGAAGCTTCACGGGTAGAGGGCGGCCTGTTTTCAAAATGTGGCTCTCGCCGTAGTGCCGCGCAGAATCGTCGTAAACGTTTGCAAAGCTTCACGGATGGAGGGCAGTTCCTTTTCAACATGTGGCTCTCGCCTTAACGCCGCGCGCATTCGTCTTATCAATGACGTACCAAACATGGCATTTGGCGCCAGTCGCTGCCGGGTTTCATGGGGTCCCGAATCCGTGCGGTGACAGACCGCACGGTGACCTCGTAGCCCCCCCAAGGTCTCACCGCACAGCGTCACCACACGGTTTTGGGGGCCTCGGAGACCCCAGTCGCCCGAGGCGTCCTCGGAGAACGAAGCAAGTCCCAAGACCGCGCCGTCACCCCAAATCCCCACTAACTCAACGTTTGGGGGCCCGCCTGGTGCCTGTCGGGTCATAACCGCGAAAGGTTTTGCAACCCCGGGAAATGCGCGGGTTTACTAACGGATTGGGACCCAAAACAATACGTGGAACATAATTGTTTCCCCCTTTCCCCTCCCCCTCCTCCTTTCCTGGTCCTTATTCATAGCTCCTCCCCGTCGCGCCCAAAGGCCAGTCAGAAGGGCGGGCCGGGCGTTTCCCCTAAGACGTCCTTACCATTCATGATGCTGCAGTTTAAAACGTGGCAACAGTTTCACACATGGAGGGCGGGTGGTTTCAAAATATGGAACTCGCCCTCGCGCTGCGCAGACTCGTTTTCTCTGATGCAAGAGCTTCACGGATAGAGGGGGGGTGGCTTTCAAAATGTAGTTCTCGCCTCAGCGCCGCGCACTTCCGTCTTCAACAAATGCAAGAGCTTTGCGGGTTGAGGGCGGGCCGCTTTTGTTTGTATGTGGCTCTCGCCCTCGCGTTGCACACATTCGTCTTCAAAATTTACAAAAACTTGACGGACTGAGGGCGGGTGGTTTTCAAAATGTGGCTCTCGCCTTAGCGCCGCGCACTTTCGTCTTACAATGTTGAAGAACTTCGCGGGTTGAGGGCGGGTCGTTTTCAAAAAGTGGATATCGCCTTACCGCCGCGCACGCTCGTCGTAAATATTTGCAAGGTAATCAAGCATTGAAGGCGGCTCGATTTACAAAATGTGGCAATCGCCTCAGCGCCGCGCACACTCGATTTAACACACTGCAAGAGTTTAGCGGGTCCTCATAGTTGACGTACCAGGACTGATATTTCGGAACGATTCAGAGTTGTCATGGCGAAACAAGAATGTTGATTCGCGGCGTTGAAATCCCAGAAATATTTTTCTGGCACGATTCAGGATCGTCAAGACGCAACAGTCAAGGTGATTCGTGGCGTTGACGTCCCGAGAACGGTCTTCTGGCACGCTTCAGGATTTTCAACTGGTTGTCTCCCAACGTGGCACTTCCCACAGTGGAAATGAATCCTTGTATGGGGCCTGTTGAAGAGGGAGCCTGGAGGGAGGGCTTATTCCAACATCGTTGATGGGTCTTGGGTTTCCACTGGTTTTCCTCCCCCTGATTTTCCTCATCGCCCTCCTCCTCCTCCTCCTCCTCCTCCTCCTCCTCCTCCTCCTCCTCCTCCTCATCATCATCATCATCATCATCATCATCATCATCATCATCATCATCATCATCATCATCATCATCATCATCATCATCATCATCATCATCATCATCATCATCATCATCATCATCATCATCATCATCATCATCATCATCATCATCATCATCATCATCATCATCATCATCATCATCATCATCATCATCCTTCTTCTCCCTGTACGCACAGGCTGAGCGGGAGACGCCCATTGCGTGGGAGGATGAGGGGGAGGGGAATGGCGAGCGTAATTGCCAGCCGAGAGCTCGGGGGTGAGGGGTGCCGGGCAACATTAAAGATCCTTCACGTTTAACTCGGGTCTCCGGCAGCGCGGCCGTTCGGGAAGATCCGGGCCCCCCCGGAAAGCCCACGGCAAGGCGCAGCTGCTGCGAAGCATCCCGAGGCTAGAAGGCCGCCAGGAACCCACGAACAGGCCCGAAAACTTCGAACCTCGAGCCCTCCGAAAACCCAGAATCCACACCGCACCGTTCGGGGGCCCCCGATTGTGCTGCGGCCCCGAGCTGCTCTGGGTGGTGGTCCGCCCTCTGCTGGCACCTGCTCGCCTGCGCGGGCCCGAGCGTCGGAAGCCGGGCCGGCGGCGCGCGTCGCTGCCGAGGTGCCCGGGCCAGCTCTCGCTCTTGCAGCCGGCGGCGGCGTTGCCTCCCGAAATCGGGTCCGAGCACATGGGGTCGGAGGATCGCGCCGCATCGCCGACGCATCGGTGATGCACAGACGACGTCGGCGATGCATCGGCGCCGTCGGCGTCGAGAAACTCGGGCTCCACGATGGGCCGCATCGCCGGGGCATCAGCGATGCGGCGCGATCCTCCGACCCCATCTACGTCGACATCCTTTGGGAGGCTAAGACGCGTTGGCTCCCAGGGCACAACCTGCGCAACTTCGCGCCTCGCGCCCCTCCAATGCGCGATGCGCGGCCACCATCGCGGCGCCCACGAGACGCCGCCCGCGGAGAAGGACAGCCTAGCGGCCCTGGCCGCGACGCGCGAAGAACGGCTCTCTTCGCACCCCCGGAGGTGACCTGGATCACTCGGGCCTCGCCTGGCCGTTCGGGGCGACTCGGGCACCCGCGGACGCCCTTGCCGAGGCGCAGCCGATGGACACCCGCCCAGGGCCCCAAAGACCTCCGATCGCTTGCCGCGGACGTCCTCCTCCTCCTCCTCCTCCTCCTCCTCCTCCGCCTCCGCCTCCTCCTCCTCCTCCTCCTCCTCCTCCTCCTGCTCCTCCTCCCTGCCCTCCCTGCCCTCCCTGCCCTCCTCCTCCTCCTCCTCCTCCTCCTCCTCCTCCTCCTCCGCCTCCTCCTCCTCCTCCTCCTCCTCCTCCCCCCGAAGACCTCCGATAGCTTGCCGTCCAGAAGCCGCTGAGTGGGCGGACAGTGTGCGCGCGCGCGGGCGGGCGCGACCAGCTCCCCCTCCAGCTTCGCGGCGCGCTCCTTCGCGCCCCCCTCGCTGGCGCTGGCCTCGCCGAGTCTGCCAGAGGCCTCTGGACGGGAGAGGGGCGGGAGGAGGAGCAGGAGGAGGAGGAGGAGGAGGAGGAGGAGGAGGAGGAGGAGGAGGAGGCGAGGAGGAGAAGGAGGAGGCGGAGGATGGGAAGGGGGAGGGGGAAGGGAAGGGGGAGGAAGAGGAAGAGGGGGAGGAGGAAGACGAAGAGGAACGGATAGTACGCGGAGGGCGCGGAGAAGGGGAGGCACAGGGGGGGAGGGATAATGAAGATCATATATAGCACCCTGCAGATGCGGATAAGAGTGAGGGGGCGGGCGCGGGGTGATTCGCGGGTGGGTCGCGTGCGAGTCGCGGGTGGGTCGCGGGCGAGTCGCGGGTGGGTCGCGGGCGAGTCGCGGGTGGGTCGTGGGGTAGGTCGCGGGTGGGTCATCGCTGGTTCGCAGGTGGGTCGCGGGCGAGTCGCGGGGCGGTCGTGGGGTGGGTCGCGGGTGGGCTGCGCGTGGGTCGCGCGTGGTTCGCGGGTGGGTCGTGGGGTGGGTCGCGGGTGGGCTGCGCGTGGGTCGCGCGTGGTTCGCGGGTGGGTCGCGCGTGGGTCGCGCGTGGGTCGATGCTGGATCGTTGGCGGGTCGTGGGTGGGTCGCGGGTGGGTCGCGGGCGGATCGCGCGGTGGGTCGCGGGCGGGTCGCGCGGTGGGTCGCGGGCGAAGCGCGGGGCGGTCGCGGGGTGGGTCGCGGGTGGGTCGGTCGCGTGTGGGTCGTGGGGTGGATCGCGGGTAGGTCGCGGGGTGGGTCGCGGATGGGACGCGAGTGGGTCGCAGGTGGGTCGCGGGCGGGACGACGACGACGACAACAAACAACAACAATCCGCACCGCAGAAGCCCACTTGCAGCCACGCACCCCGGGACAGTGAATGACCGTTCGGCCCCCTCACCCTGATTATATTATACCCCATTGCGTCCCCTGCATGCCGAGTTGTAACAAGACATTGGCTGGCTAGTGCTGGGCCCTATGGTCGTTGGTTGCTTCAAAGCTTTTAGCCCCAGGGACCGCTGGCTCCCAGCGTGTAAAATCTTGCAAACAAAAGCTCCCCAAGAAAAGTACTGCTAAACACTGGCACCCTCGTCTGCCGCTGGATGGCCAAAAGGCGCGCAGCCTCACCACCTCTGGGCAGGAGAAGATAGAGGATGAGGATGAGGATGAGGATGAGGATGAGGATGAGGATGAGGATGAGGATGATGATGATGATGATGATGATGATGATGATGATGATGATGATGATGATGATGATGATGATGATGATGATGATGATGATGATGATGATGATGATGAGAGAGAGGAGGAGGAGGGAGGAGGAGGATGAAGAGGTGAAGGAGGAAGGAGGAGGAGGAGGAGGAGGAGGAGGAGGAGGAGGAGGAGGAGGAGGAGGAGGAGGAGGAGGTGAGGAGGAGGAGGAGGGAGAGGAGGAGGAAGATGAGGAGGAGGATAAGGAGGAAGGGGGGAGGAGGAAGAGGGGGAGAAGTAGGAGGAGGAGGAGGAGGAGGAGGGAGAAGGAAACTGGAGGAAGAAGGCCGTCAGAGGAATGAGATGATGGAGGAGGAGGAGGAGGAGGAGGAGGCTCGGTCCAGTCGTCCTCGAGGGCGTGAGCCGAGCGTGGGTCATTGAGGGTCGGCGCCGCCTCCGCTGGCAGCGGCGCCCACGGGCGCGGGCCCCGCGAGGGTCCACGGCACGAGATGCAGAAGGTGCAAAGACTTCGGGCCGCAAGAAGACCCGACTGCACTGACTGATCGGCCTTCCTGTAAGTCGGGCTCGTCCCTCTACAGGAGGAATATTCAAAAACAGTTTGAAACATGATATTGGGACCATTTTGGCCTATTTCTGACTAGTTTTGCATATCTTTAAAAAGTATGTTTAATTTGTCCTCCAAAATCCGCTTGTAGGAGGACATGCCCGACCTAAGCCTTCCTGCCTGCGCCTCCCGCAGGTGGACACAAGAGTGTAACCCTTGACGCGGCGCCCCCACCCTTCCCTCCCCCCCACGTTCCAAAGTTGGCCAAGAGCATTCGGCAGCACTCACGCGTGAGAGGACAAAAGAAGTGGAACCCCCGGAGCCTCCAGGAGGCCGAAGCCAATTTCGAAATTGGGGGAAGGGGGAGGGGAGGAGGCGAACGCGGGGTCGAAGACGAAGGGGTTCCATTTTTTTGTCCCAATACCGTCCCAGGCACCTCCTCAAGTGGTCGTAGGCGGCGACCACAAATGCAGGCGCGGGCGCGGCGGGGGAAAGAAAGAGAGAGAGAGAGAGAGAGACAGAGAGGAGAGAAAAAGAGGCCCGGCAGTGGAGTGCGAGAGAAATCCGAGCCCCATCACACAAAGCCTCCACCCCGTAATGCAAGGGTGGTGGCCGAAATCGCAATTGTTGAATGCTTGGCGCGGTGTAAACTGCGTACCATTCGCGCTCAACGTGCGTAAGCTAGCAGATATTGCAAAAACGAGCAAGACAGGGGGTCACAGGAGGAGCCAAACACTTGAATAGAGCACGGGCAAAATAAGACGTAAATCATTGCCTCTGGCGCAGCAGGGGACTAGACTAATTTTGAAGAGTAGAGAACTGCATGGCTATAGAAGCAAATCTAATCCGACACACTCCGATAACCCCTAACCTCCACCCTCCCAGCATAGCAGCCTGAAACGGCGCTACTCCCAGAGACACGCGAGGCACAGCGTCAGGCTGGGGGAGAAGAACAGCATGAAACGCAGCTTAAAGCAAACTGAAGGCACGCAACTTTGCAAATGCGAGGGCAACATAAAACGACAAACGTGGGAGAACACCAAAGGTTCATTGAGACGAAGGGGGGATTCCAAAGGGAAGAGGGCGAGGATACTGCCCCAAACTGGATACGCAGGTTTGGACATCCAGGACTGACATCCCAATTAGAAACAAAAGCGTCCGTCGACCAACACCGATCAATGCGCGAAAGACTGCGGAGCGCGAAGGTTGAGCCCCACTGGGGAAGGGAGCAGGAAGCCCAGGCCAAGCAAAAGAAAGTGCATACTCGAACGGACGGCGCGGCCCCCGACCCCAGTCCTTGACCGTAAAATTCGTTGAAGACATGTGAGAACTCGCTGGCACGCTTATCGGACCACTGGGCCCACAACTTCTATTCCGGCATGGAGTGGGATACCCAGCGTTCTTGACAGAGAAGTCCTCCGCGAAGTTTGTATGATCTCACTCCTCTCCAGAAGCCGTCACACGTGCGTTTGTTACAATAAGCGCATTGCGGCACATCTGATCGATTACATGGCAAACAATGGCAAGGACAGCTATTACTTCTAATGGCAGGCCAAACAATTTCCTGACATGAGCTGCAGGTCGGCGGTGCCGCAAATGATCGGTCCACATGGTCTGGCCTGTCCTCTTTGCGCCGGCCTCTGACCTGTCTACTCAAAGAAGCACGCGCTGGAAGAAAAGGAGGACGTGCATCTTGCGGGAGCGGTGCATATGACTGCCCGACGAAATTCGTTTAAATCGCCCTCCTATCTGTCGGGGGAACCGCCTTCAAGAGAATGTGCGGAAGAAGAAATACAGTAGGAACTCGACCTCAAGAAACCTTCCACAAGAAACCTAACCCTGAGACCCCAGGACGTACATTGATTTTTGGTGTGGGAACGTCACGCTTTTCATAGCAAAACCATGGAAACCCAAGAAACCCAGGGCACCCTGGATGCAAGCAGAGAGTTTCTTGGCATGGGCCCCCACTGTATGACTGCCTAACGAACTTCGTTTAAGTCGCCCTCCTGTCTGTCCGGGGAGCCGCCTTCAAGAGAGTGTGCGGAAGAAAAGGTATCGCCCTCCTGCCTTCCAGGGCTAAGCGGTGGGCACCTGGAACGAGGAGAAGGCGCATCGTCATTTCAGCGGAACTGAATCGGGGGCGCGGATTTGGAACGCCCTCTTCTAATCCATGGATCGGGGGAGGTGCCCTCTCCAAAATGCGGCCGGTGCCGCCTCGTTCGGCGGCGGAAATCCGCGATTCCCCGTGGAAACGGGAACCGTCGCTAATCCACGCCCCCCTTTGATCCATGTTTGCGACTGCCTGACGGAAGCTCGCCATCAACCTGTCTACGACGAAGCTTTGCTTTGCCAGCTCGCCGAAAGAGGGCTGAAAGGGCCCGAGGCGCGACTGGGGGGTCCCTCTGGTGCAGGCGAGGGTTGGGTACTTGTGCAAGGCCCACAAGAAGGCTCTGACCCTGACGCGCAAATGCTCACGTGGCCACTCTCAGGATGAACGCGATGCTCCTGCTGGGCGGGCTGTACTTGAGCACGCTGTCCAACGCAGGAGCCAGTAGAAAGCTGGGTACCAAACTGCCCAGGTGGTGGAGCCAATGGAACCGTGCTCGGCCACGCCTTCGTGCCCGAGCTTGTAAGAGGAACGGGGACTGGCGGAGCTGGTGGCACAGATAACGCAGGTTCGATTGGCAAATGGGGGAAGAAGAAGTACACCACTAGCCGACAACGCCACTGAATATGAAGCCTTCAATGCAGATGAAAAGCAGTTTGCGGGTGATGGCGGAGGTGTATGCGGAGGTACTGCTGCCTGCTGATCACGAAGTGGCGGTGGCGGAGGTGTGGGCAGCCAACTCCCCGAGGGCCAATGAGTCCGCATACGCCGAAACCGCCGCTGAAGCTAATCCAACTTGAAGAATGATTGAAACTACATGCCAGATTGTCTGTCCTGGTCGGCCTTCAGTAGGCTGACGCGCTAGTTGAGCAGGGACCGACCGTTCCAGCATGCCTATAGTCCTAGCTCGAAATGCTCTTAGAACCCAACAATGTTCTTAGAACATTGTTTGGTAGGCTCATAGGCGAACCAGGACGCTTCGCCACTGCTTGAGCTACGTGCCGTACAGAGACTGTGAACAGGGGAAGCCCCCCCCTGGCCTCTTGCGCTGCAGGGGAAGGGCGAGAGACGGGAATTTGGACATGGCGGGCAGCTCGCGCACGGAGCCTTCGGAGGAGGAGGAGGAGGAAGAGGAGGATGCCGCTGCGGCTGCTGCTGCTGCTGCTGCCACTGCTGCGCCTGCCAGTGCTACCCACAAAGAACTGGGGCGCCTTCGTCATGCGCCTGTGTTGCTGCTGATTCTCCGTTCCGTCCTCCTTCTGGTTGTCCTCCTCCTCCTCCTCATCCTCGCCCTCCTCTTTCTCCTCCTCCCCATCCTCCTCCAGCTTCTCCTCCCCCTCCTCCTCCTCCTCATCCTCTTCATCGTCCTCCTCCTCCTCCCCCTCCTCCGCCTCCTCCTCCTCCTCCTCCTCCTCCTCCTCCTCCTCCTCCTCCTCCCCCTCCTCCTTCTAGTCGGTGGCCCTGGCGAGAGGGTGGCGGCGGCACTGGCAGTGCCGAAACGCGCTCAGAGTCCAGCAAGGCATGAGCGTGCAGACACGTCTTGCCTGGCTGCTCTGGGGGGGGCCTGTGCTCAGGGGACGTTGCGGCACCACTCAACGATGTCCTGTCAACCAAAACTGAATGGTGAAGCCCCTTTCCATTTACCTGTGCGCTTCAGCTTCGGCTTCAGCTGCGGTTGCACCGTGAGTCGCCTTCGGGCCAGATCACCAGAGTCGGTGTTCCGCTCGCATGCGTGCGCCGCCCCCCCATCGACCTCCTCCTCATCCTCCTCCTTTTCCTCCTCCTCCTCCTCCTCCTCCTCTTTCTCATCCTCCTCTTCTTGCTCCTCCTCCTCCTCCTCTTCATGTTCCTCCTCCTCCTCCTCCTCCTCCTCCTCCTCCTCCACCTCCTCCTCCTCCTCCTTATATTATCGTGCTAGCCCGCACCCTGCATTACTCCCCTTCTCCCCCCATTCCTCTTTTTCTCCTCCGCTCTCCGTCATCCCTCCTCTTTTTGCTTATTCTCCCCCTCCTCCCCCTCCCCCTCCCCCTCCTCCCCTCCTCCTCCTCCTCCTCCTCCTCCTCCTCCTCCTCCTCCTCCTCCTCCTCCGTACCTTCCTTAGCTTCTCCTGCTAGCCCGCACTCTGCTACACTCCCCCTTCTCCCCCCATTCCTCTCATCCTCCTACGCTCTCCGTCTTCCCTCCTCTTGTTGCTCCTCCTGCTCTGTTCTCATAATGTGTTTTTTGTTGGTTCTCTCTCTCTCTCTCTGCCCCTCCCCCGCCCCGTCCCTCTCCTCCTCCTCTTCCTCCTCCTCCTCCTCCTCTTCCTCCTCCTCATCTTCCTCCTCATCATCTTCCTCCTCCTCCTTCTCCTCCTCCATGCTGCCATATTGCCAGCACAGAAAGGGGACCTCGCAATCCGAGGGCCCGCTGGCAGCTTGGCAAATGATGCACTGTGGCGGGGCACGCACACACAGCTCTCCTCCTCCTCCTCCTCCTCCTCCTCCTCCTCCTCCTCCTCCTCCTCTTCCTCCGCCTGCTTCTTCTCATCCTCCTGCCGTAGGCGTGAGCGCAGCATTGGCGATGTTGTCCTTCAAGACATTGAAGTGGCGCTGGTACGTGGGGTCGTGAAAAGGTGATCGGATCGATGGCTTGTTCTTCTGGTCGTGCTGCTGACGCGTTGACTAGAAGCAAATGTAAAATGGCACGGTCACTGATGCCTTTGTCAGAGAGGGCCGCTCCATCTGTGTGATTCGTCAGATGCGCGTCCACATGATCAAATCTATGCCCGTGAGCGAGACGAAGATGCGGTCTATGGCCGTAGCCGCTTGGGTGTTGGCCGAGAAGTGCGTAGGCAAGTCGTGCGTGATCTCCGTGGGCGAGGCGAAGAGTTGGCGCCACGGTGCCTGTTCTCGTTGATATTGTCCATCAGGTGCCATCGGCCGCCAGCGCGCAGATGGACCCTTGAAGCTGAAGGAGGGGACGGCGCTGGTGTTGAAGCCCCCCCCATGGCTAGGAAGAGGCACTGCTGTGGGGCTTCCGCTGCCCATCTTCTGGAGGCATGCCACGCCTCTGCCACTCTGTCAATGTCTGCGGCCACCAGAGCGGTCATGAATGACAGGCCACAGTGAGGTCGTAGTAGAGGACGACGTGGGTGTTGGCACAAGAAAAGCCACTCCCCTTCGCGGCGGTTGAGAGGGCATCCGCTGAAGTAGACCTGGTAGTCGTATGGAATCTTACCAATGTGAGATTCCAAATCAAGCTGAGAGCCATGTACTTCCTGCACTACTATCAGAACCTGTTTGCGCATGACGGGAGTGAGCTGCCGACTTTTGCCGCAACGCTTGCAATCATCGTGACAGAGAAGACCCCGAGCATTCCAACAGATGTAGCTCCCCGCTGCGTCCGAAGTAGTTGGTCTGGTTGTAGTTGCTGCTGTCGTGGCACGGCGCCTTCGCGATGATGATGATGAGGAGGAGGAGGAGGAAGAGGGCCAGTGTAAACCAAAGGTCGTAGACGATGTTGGCGTAAACCCTCCCTCCGAACTGCCTCTTCATAGGCCCCTACAAGGGATCTCCCACTGAGGGAACTGCCTCGTTGGAAGCCAACCGTGTGAAGACACTGACGCATGTCAAAACATTTTTCTCGGGATTCCAACGCCACGGACCAACCTGATTGTTGTTCCTTGACGATCATGAATCGTGCCAAAACGTCATTCCTGGGACTTTAACACCGCGAACCAACTTACCTGTTGCACCCTCCTAATCCTGAGTCCTTTCCAAACACCGACTTTGGTACGCTGATCATGGGAATCCGTGAAACTCTTGCTCATATATATATATATTGAAAACAGAAGTGCACGGCGCTAAGGCGAGAGCTACATGTTCAAAAGGAGCCGCCTTCAATCCATGAAGCTCTGGCAAATGTGAAAAACGAATGTGCGCGGCGCTAAGGCGAGAGCCACATTTTGAAAAAGGGACCGCCCCCAATCTGTGAAGCCCTTAAACCAAAAAACGGCTGCTCGCGGCGCTAAGGCGAGAGCTACATAAAAGGACCACCCTCAATCCGTGAAACTCTTGCACATGTTTAAAACGAATGTGCGCGGCGCGAAGGCGAGAGCCATTTTTTGAAGACCACCCGCCCTCCATCTGTGAAGCTTCATGGTCATCAGTGGTGAGGAAGTCTCAGGCGAAACGCCCGGACCGCCCTGAAAACTGGCCTCGGGGTGCGAGAGGGAGATATTACTTCTCCGGAAAGGGAATGGAGAAGAAGGTCGAGAAGGAGGAGGAGGAGGAGGAGGAGGTCGAGGACGAGGAGGAGGAGGAGGAGAAGGAAGGAGGGAGGAGGAGGAGGGCAACGACGAGGACGAGGATGAGGAGCAGGAGGAAAAGGTCGAGGACGAGGAGGAGGAGGAGGAGGAGGAGGAGGGAGGAGGAGGGACGAGGGAGGAGGCCGATCACGCTCGCGCCCATGCCATGGAGGGGTGCCCCCGGCTTCCCCGTCCTTCCCGCGACGTCCTGCCGCCGCCCCCTGGCCGCGCCTGCGCGAGATCGCGCCGCAGCGCCTCGCGCTCCCCCGCCGCCTCCTCCAGACGCCGCTGCAGCTCGTCCTGGCGGCGCGCCGTTCTGGTCCGCAGCGGCTTGAAACGGGCCCGCCTGTGCATCGGCGGCGAGCCCAGGGGGAAAACGGAGGGGGCGGGCCTTCTCCGAGGGCGTCTGAGGCTTTCGGCGCTCGGGGCAGCGTTCTGGGCCTTCTCCCCGAAGACAGGGACGGCTTCTCAGAAGGCGCAAGGGCTTCTGAAAAGCCCCGCCGCCTTCTGAGAGGCCTGCTCCCTCTCACTTCCTCCCTGGGCACGCCGCCGAGTGGAGGAGATCGTGCGCAGGAGAAGGGACAAGGTGTGGGACAGTACACGAAAGCAGGCGTCACTCCTCCGGAGGCGCCTCGATTGCAGCTTACTAGGTCACCAAATTTCGCGCATCGGGCCCCGCGATGCGCGGTGCGGGATTATCTTCCCGCCCTCACCCCCCCGGGTCGCCACCTTGGAGAAGGGCAGCCACTCTGACCACACCGCGACGCGCGAAGTGCGATTATCTTCGCGCCCCAGCAGGTGACCTAGTTCTGGCAGGTTCGCGTCGTGTGGACCCCGGGTTTGGTTCCTGACACCGCATGGGTCGTTCGACCTTGAACCATCGGCCGCTTCCAGAACGTCAGATGTGTCAACATCGACTGCTTCTGAGTCGCCGGCGGCGTTCAACGCTGAACCCCAACGACGGGATCGCCGCCAATCCCCACGACGCGAACCTTCCGTACACGAAAGCGGGCGTCACGCCTCTGGAGGAGCCTCGATCGCAGCTTCACTCTGGAATCGCTCGCCGACGCCTGCTCCTCCTCCTTCCCCTCCATCCCCCTCCCTGCCCCCCCTCCCTCCCCCCCCCCTCCGTCCCTCCTCCATTCTTTTTGCTTATAGATAGCTCCTCCCTGTCGCACCCCGAGGCCGGTCTAAAGGGCGGGCCAGGCGTTTCGCCTGAGATTTCCTCACCATTTATGACCCTGATACTTTAAAACTGACAACAGTTTCACAAATGGAGGGCGGGTGGTTTTCGAAATGTGGCTCTCGCCTTAGAGCTGCGCACATTCGCTTTCAGCATGTGCAAAACGTTTTGCGGATTGAAGGCGGGTGGTTTTCAAAATGTGGCTCTCGCCTTAGCGCACCGCACATTCGATTTACAAATTTGCCAGAGATTCACGGATTGAGGGCGGGCCATTTTCAAAATATGGTTTTCGCTTTAGCGCGGCGCACATCCGTGTTAAAAAATTGCAAGAACTTCACGGATTGAGGGCGGGTCGTTTTCAAAATGTGGCTCTTTCTTAGCGCCGCACATCCGTTTTACAAATTTGCCAGAGCATCACGGACTGAGGGCGGGTCGTTTTCAAAATGTGGTTTTCGCTTTAGCGCGGCGCACATTCGTGCTAAAAACTTGCCAGGGCTTCACGGATTGAGGGCGGGCCACTTTCAAAATGTGGCTCTCGCCTAAGCGCAGCGCACGTTCGTTTAGGCTCACGGATTGACGGCGGTTCCTTTTCAAAATGTGGTTCTCGCCTTAACGCCGCGCACATTCGTTTTACAAATTTGTTGGGCTTCACGGATTGAGGGCGGTTCCTTTTCAAAATGTGGCTCTCGCCTCAGCGCCGCGCACAATCGTGTTCAACATTTGCAAGAGTTTCATTGATTCACATGGTTTGCGTGCCAGAAATAATGTTCTGGAACGGATCAAGATCGTCAGGGCGCTACGGTTACGCTGATTCACGGTGTTGAAATCCCAGGAATGGTGTTCTGGCACAATTCACGACCGCCAAGACGTAACATATCAGGTTGACTCGTAGCATTGAGATCCTCATAATGATGTTTTGGTACGCTTCAAGATGTCGAGGCTCGGCAAAAGACGTGCTGGGGAGGAGGACATAATGGGCGAGCACACGTTTGGGCGCGAGGCGAAGAGAAAGGCTGACCTTCCCAACCGGGACCTGTTTACAGAATTCTGCATGGACCTCCAGCTCCTCGTGGCGAACACGCTGAAACTCCACCCGGCCGATCAGACAGCGTACCATGAACCATCCGTTCGGCCTGGCAGTCCAATCAACGACGTCGGCTTCAATGTCTTGGATTACTTGGTTATTCCTGCTGCTCGCGAGCAGGACCTGGGAGATATTCGAAGCGACACCTCTGTCCCTGTGCTGGCAACCATTGTGGCGGGCGCGCCAAAGACCTCTGAGCGCCGGCCAGCAAACCGGCGGAAGAATTGGGCCACCCTGCAATCGCCATCTGGGAGACGAGAGCTCACGAAAGAAGTTGGACGTCGCATGGAAGAGTCCGCAGGCGAACATAGTTTAACGCTGAGCTGGAAGACGGCGTCTGCGTCTGTCATGGCGGCCGTGGACACCACCGTGCCAGATTCCATGCACAAGCCGAACAAACCCTGGATCTCAGAGCGCACGCTGGCACTCATCACCCAGAGACGCCAGGCGCGAACTGCAGGCGATTGGGGCGCCGAGCTGCGACTGAGAAAGTCCGTGAAGCAGTCGGCCAAGCAAGATCGCAGTACGTGGCTCGAGAATCTGACAGCCACTGGAGACTGGAGTTGCATCAACAAGATATCGAAATGCAAGGGCCGGCCGCAAGGGCGACTTCACAATCGAAACGGCGACCCGGTTGCGACAGACGAGCGTGCGGAGACATTCGCGGAGCACCTCAGCAATATCCAGTGGTACGTGCGCCCTACAACTCTGACGCCAGACACAGACGATGCGATCTACCAGGCGTTGACCGTGAATCTGGATCGCTTTACGGATGCAGAATTACGGCGTCCCTTACAGAAGTTACGCCCTGGAAGATCTTGCAAAAGAGGGGACATCCCAGTAGAAGTTTACAAATCTCTCGCTGCTGAGCCAGGGCACTTGCAGTGGTTGCTCGACATCTGCAATACCGCATGGGTGGAGAAAATTTTTCCGGATGATTGGTGCGAGTCTCATGTGAGCTTACTCTGCAAGAAGGGTGACCCAGCAAATTGCGACAACTACCGGCCCCTCCCTGTCGCTTCAATGCGTCGCCATGAAAGCATTCTCCGCCATGCTCAAGCAGAGGCTCCTGGACGCGGGCGTGGATGAGAGATTGTGGGCGTCCCAATTTGGTTTCCGACCTGGTCGCAGCACCGAGCACGCCATCTATGTTGCCCGGAGGCGCATAGAAACAGCCAGGGCGAAAAAAGGAGGGGCTGTCACCCTGGTGGCGCTGGATTGGAAGAAGGCGTTTGACAGCATACACATAGAGAGCCTGCTGGACGCATTGCGGCGGATTGGCGTTCCATCTGAGTTCCGGGAGATTGTCGGTGTGATGATGGAGAGAAGGATGTTCGTGGTGAGGGAATGCGACAACCAGTCCGCTCCCAGACCCCAGCTTTCTGGGATCTCACAGGGTTGCACCCTCAGCCCGCTGCTGTTCGTCCGGGTCATGACTGTGCTCTTGCACGATGCCGCCTCGAAGCTTACCGGCGGAGCAAAGGAGGCGCACGTCAAGGGCGACTTGTCCGAGTGCGTTTACGCAGACGACACGCTCTTAATCGGCTCCAATGAAGAGCACTTGAACGAGCTTCTGGGTGCCGTTGCCTCCGCGGGCAAGCGCTACGGAATGGAGTTGCATTGGGGCAAGTTCCAGGTGCTCGCAGTTCAGTCGAAGGGCGAGATATACGCCCCTGATGGAACTGCCCTCAACCATGTGCAGCACCTACAGTACCTGGGAGCACATCTGTCGGCAGATGGCAGACATGGGCCACGAATTGGGCAGAAAAATTGGAGAGCCCAAAAGGAATTTCACAACGTTGCGAAAAGTCTGGTCGCATTCTTCCCTGACCTGGCCACGAAAGCTGCGAATTCACCCATCGATTGTGGAGTCTAAATTATTATATGGGCTAGCAGGGTCGTGCCTGACAAAATCGCAGCTGCGGCGGTTGGACGGCTTCCAGAACAGGTGTGTCCGGCAGATCATAGGCGTCCGACCTTCATGGATTTCGCGCGTACGGAACACAGACGTGCTGAGCCGTGCAGACCACGCCCCAGCGAGCCAGCAACTTCTACGCCGGCAGCTCCTGCTCTTCGGTCAAGTGCTTCGCGCCGATCGAGGACACCCGCTGCGGACGTGCACCTTCGCTTCCGGCTCATTGACACCACAGACAGATGCTACAACGAGGAGGGTTGGTAGGCCATACAAGGAGTTTGCCTGTGAGATGATTAAGCATTCTGCACGCATTTTTGGTAGCACGGCAGCAGCCGAGGCTGCAGCGCAAACTTGCCAATACGATCGTACTATACGCGCCCTGTTTTAATTCCACGTGCACTCCTCCTCCTCCTCCTCCTCTCCTCCTCCTCCTCCTCCTCCTCCTCCTCCTCCTGGTCGTCCCAGTGTGACCCATTTGCGCGCCGTTCCCGTTTGTGGTGCCCTGGGCCCCCAACGCACAAGTACAGCTTCTCACTGGTAGCCGACTGCAGTGGCCCGGCGTGCAGCCAAGGCCCTGGCTCTTCTTTAAGCCAGCGTTCATGCCCACGCACCGCTTGGTGTATGGTTTGTCAGTCAGTCAGTCAAGATGTCCACAAAGTTGCCCCCAACGGGGCGATTCCCTCAGTGGAACTGACCCCTTGTAGGGGCCTGTGAAGAGGGAACTTGGAGGGAGGGTGTATTTCAATATCGTTGATGAGTCTTGGGCTTACACTGGTCCTCCCTCCCTCTCCTCCTCCTCCTCTCTCACCCTCCTCCTCACACTCCTCCTCCTCCTCCTCCTCCTCCTCCTCCTCCTCCTCCTCCTCCTCCTCCTCCTCCTCCTCCCCCCTGCTCCTCCTCCTCCTCCTCCTCCTCCTCCTCCTACTCCTCCTCCCCTCCCTCCTCCTCCTCCTCCTCCTCCTCCTCCTCCTCCTCCTCCTCCTCCTCCTTCCTCCCCTCCTCCTCCTCCTCCCTCCTCCCTCCTCCTCCTCCTCCTCCTCCTCCTCCTCCTCCTCCTCCTCCTCCTCCTCCTCCTCCTCCTCCTCCTCCTCCTCCTCCTCCTCCTCCTCTCTCCTCTCCTCCTCCTCCTCCCCGTCCTCCTCCTCCTCCTCCTCCTCTGCGGTCCGGGCTCTCCTCGAGAACGGCCCCGCGGCGCGTGGAGCCGCGTGGGGGCGGCGGCCGCTCCCAGGAGAGGGCGGGCTCTCTGGGATGATGGCCGGTGTGGAGCGACCACGCATCGAGGACTGCGGCCAGCGGCGGGGCCGAACCGGCTGCACGCAAAGATTTCCCCCCCCCTCCCCCGCCCCGCCTCTCTACAGTGGAGGCCAGTCCACAAGAAACCCTCCACAAGAAACCCAACCCTGAGACCCCAGGACGTCCATTGATTTTCGTTGTGGGAACGTCGCGCCTGCCATGGCGAAACCACCGAGAAACCCAGGAAATCCTGGGCACCCTGGAGGCAGGCGGGGTGTTTCTCGGCAGTGGGTCTCTCCACTGTAAGTCATATTAGGTCATTAGGTCATCCAACAGGGGGACGAAGAACAACATGAACATAACAAACTCGGAGGTCCGCGCGGATTTCTCGGGTCGGCGCTGGACCCCCTTCCCTGGCGCGCCGGAGCGCGCCAGGGGCGGCGCCGGAGGCGCCGCCAGGGATGGGGGGGGGGCAGCGCGCGGACACGAGACATCCGCGCGGACCTCCGAATTGTTTATGTTCATGTCGTTCTTCGTTCCCCTGCACCTGTCGGGCAAAAGTAGTGGGTAGAGCCATAAAGTAGGGAGGCGTTAGCAGTGGATTGGGTTCCCGCCCGCCCCCTGACGAGGCAGGAAGGAGGGAAACCGTTAGAGTCTTGAAATAGGAGGGCGCCTAAAGTAGACTGGAATCTGGGAATCCAGAAATACCAGCGCTCAACGACCGACGGGTAGGGATGCGCGGAATGGACGCAGGGGCCTTGGAGGGCCGTGTCGGCGTGTTCTTGTTGGAACGAGGCTGGCCAGCGAAGGCCGCTGAGGATGGGTCAGAAGGGCAGTCCTCGTCCTCCTCCTCCTCCTCCTCCTCCTCCTCCTCCTCCTCCTCCTCCTCCTCCTCCTCCTCCTCCTCCTCCTCCTCCTCCTCCCCCTCCCCCTCCCCCTCCTCCTCCTCCTCCTCGGATCGCGCAGCGAAGGCCGCTGAGGCGACTTGGAGAGTCGCTCGTCCTCACTCTGCGGGTCGACTGCGTCGGGAGCGGCCAAGAGGGGGGTGTTCAAGAGGGGGGCGCAGATCGTGGCTGGCGGCATGTGCGCGGCCCAGGGGGGGTGTCAGGGGCGTCTTGCAATGAGAAGAGAGGCGCCACGAAATCTGGGGAGATATCATGACCCCCACAATGATATCCAACCCCCCTAGTCATCACAACCCTCTTTGCCGCCCCCGACTGTAGGTCAGCTGACATCACCTGACGTCGCGCATCGCGTCCCGCGATGCGCGACGCGCGATTCTCTTCGCGCGCTCGCGCCGCCGCCTTGGAGAAGGGGGGGAGGACGAGGAGGGGGAGGACGAGGAGGAGGAGGAGAAGGAGGAGGAGGACCGAAGATGAGGATCTAAACCCCCTGACTTTGTGCATCGCGCCCTGCAATGCGCGACGCGCGACTCTCTCCGCGCGCTCGCGCCGCCGCCTCCTTGGAGATCCTTGGAGGACGGCCGCCGCCCTGGCCTCGGGTTGCGACGCGCGCGAAGGCGCTGGCTTATCCCTTCGGGCCCCCCGCGGGTGACCATGGGGCCTCCTGGCATGCTGGCCAGTGTAGGGCCCTGTGCCGCGCGATCTGTGGACTGGACACCCCAGACCTCCAGCGTCTCGAGAAACTCGAAACGGATCTTTTTCCTAGTTTTCGACCACTGTGGGGCCTCGACGGGCCCTGGGACCGTCAAGAAACGACTCGGGATGAAGAGCCAGCCCCAGGGGGAAGGTGCAGGCCTGCGGGGAAGCCGTCTTGAGAAACTCACGACGTCGGATGTCTGGGCCTGCACCGACTCGGGGATCGACTGGCCTGGGTGAGTCCAGACCCGGGCCAGTCAGGTTTTGCAGGGTCCTGCAAGATCCTGCAGGATATCCTGCAGGATCCCGCGCCCAAGCCCATGCACCCCCCCTGGCCCTGCAGGATCGTGCATTAGGTCGGGCCTGTCCCCCTACAGGGGGAGATTGGGCGAAAAAATAAGAATAATCAACAAATGCTCCCAAAATGCCCAACAATAGTCCAAAAACCGTCCCCAGACTATTTCTTGACTATTTTTGAAAACCATCCCTGTAGAGGGACAGGCACGACTTAAATCTTGCAACATCCGGCGCTCTGACTGACCCCCTGTTTGCATGGACCCCCTTCTCTTGAGCCCCGACCGACCCTGGCCAGGATCATCCCAGGGCTGGCTTCGGCGGGAGGGCACGTACGCCGGTCCTGGGTCCGGGGTCGGCCTGCAGGTGTGTCGTTGTAGCGGATGCCCCCCGAGCTTGGCGGCGCGCCACCAAAAGGGTGGGCGCGCCACGGGCCAGCCTTCTGAGAAGGCCAGAGGGTGCCTCTTGGAAGGCCCAGGGCCTTCTCGAAGCCCACACGACTTGTGGGTAGGCCTCCCTGCTTTTGAGGCGTCTTGCCTTAGGTCGGGCATGTCCTCTTACAAGCGGGCTTTGGAAGAAAAATGATAATGGTCAGGCAATAATCAAAAGTATTCGACAGAGCACGAAAAATCGTCCACAGACTATGTTGAACGATTCTTGAATATTCCTCCTGTAGAGGGACATGCCCGACTTAACTCTTGTCTCAAGTGGCCTCCTCAAAAGCTCGGTGGTTTGGAATGGGCCTCCTCGAGAGGCCTCCCCGAAGCCTTTCGAGAAGGCAGGGCGCTCCTTGCAGGGAACCCCCATTCTGCCTTCTTGATGGCGCCGCCCCCTTCGCGAGGCGTCCCCCCCTGCTAGCGCCGCCGAAACGCAGGAGCGACCGTGCTCTTGCCTGGGCCTGTGAGCTTCGTGGCATGGGTCCCGGAGAGTCCTGGGTCACCTGGCCTCGCGCACGACGCCCCGCGGCGCGCGACGCCACGTGAGCTTCGGGCCCTCGCGCTCTCGCGGCGCCACCCTGGGGCCCGCTCTGGCCCAGCCCGCCGCGCGAGGCGCGATGAGTTCTTCGCGCCACCGCGGGTGACCCGGTGGTTCGACGCCTCCCACAGTCGATCGGCCCTGCGGGGTTCGATCGCAGCGGGGGGCGGGGGCGGCGCTTCGCATCCAGAAGGGCCTGACGGTCTGGATCTTCGAGCCGCGTGGCGAGTTCTGGGGGCAGCTCCTGAAGCTCCCTGCTCTCCATCTGGGGTAGGAGGAGGAGGAGGAGGAGGAGGAGGAGGAGGAGGAGGACGAGGAGGAGGAGGAGGAGGAGGAGGAAGAGACTCCTGCGGAGATCCCCTCACGACTGATGCCGACAGGAGGAGGAGGAGGACGAGGAGGAGGAGGAGGAGGAGGAGGAGGAGGAGGAGGAGAAGGACGAGGAGGAGGAGTAGGAGGAGAACGAGGACGAGGACGAGGAGGAGGAGGAGGAGGACGAGGAGGAGGAGGAGGACGGCGGCCAGAAAAAATGAGAGGCGAGGACCCGCTGGAAGCTGGAACATACGCGCGTCTGGACTCGCGCATGGAGCACGCGGAGGCCGCGCGCGGGGTGCCTAGCATGCACGGCGGCTGCAGGACCGACGGAGGGAGGCACCTCTGGCAACGGGCCCCTCCCCGACGTCGTCATCATCAGCATCATCATCATCATCATCATCATCATCATCATCATCATCATCATCATCAGCATCAGCATCAGCATCAGCATCAGCATCAGCATCAGCATCAGCATCAGCACCATCACCATCACCATCATCATCATCATCATCATCATCATCATCATCATCATCATCATCATCATCCTCATCATCATGATCATCAGCATCAGCATCAACATCAGCATCAGCATCAGCATCAGCATCAGCATCATCATCATCATCATCAGCATCAGCACCATCATGATTATCACCATCATCATCACCATCACCATCAGCATCAGCATCGTCATCACCACCATCATCGTCGTCATCAGCATCACCACCATCATCATCGTCATCGACACCATCATCATCATCATGACCACCATCACTCATCATCATCATCATCATCATCATCATCATCATCATCAGCATCATCATCATCATCATCAGCATCATCAACATCAGCACCATCAGCATCATCATCAACATCATCATCAGCATCAGCATCAGCATCAGCATCATCATCAGCATCATCATCATCATCATCATCATCATCATCATCATCATCATCATCATCATCATCAGCATCATCATCAGCATCATCATCATCGTCGCCATCATCATCACCACCACCACCATATCACCATCACCACCATCACCACCACCATCGCCACCATCAGCATCACCCTCGCCCTCCCCCTGCCCCTCCCCCTGCCCCCCTCGCCGCCCGCGCTCGCCCCTCCCCCGCCTCGTCTCGCTCCCCCCCCCCTGCGCTCCCTGCCCCTTTCGCTTCCGTCCCTGTTCCCCCTGCCCCGTTCGCTCCCCCCGTGCGCCCCCCTGCCCCTCTCGCCCTCCCCTGCGCCCCCTGCTCCTCTCGCCCACCCTTGCCCCCCCCCTCGACATGTGGAGCGAGAAACGATCAGCGAATGTTCTCTTCATGCTGGATTGGTGCATTGTTTCGTTCCGTGCGGAGCGGCGCCGCCACAGAGCAAGCACACTGCAAAGACATACTCTGCGGCGGGGGATCGGGACACATGGTGAGCATCCTCTGCCGCGCGCTGGCCCGCGCTGTGCGCACGTTACACACATGCTTGAAACAAGCGTCTGCGGACGGCGTTGCTGCGGCGATGCAGCAGCAGCCGCAAGAGGTGGCGCAAGCGGCCGCGGCCCCGTCCTGCGCGGCAAGGAGCCGCTCCCGCGCCTGCTCCGCCCGCAGCCGCGCGTCCCGCTCCTGGCGCCGAGGGGGGCCTGCTGCTGCGGAGGCCTCGCCTCGCCTGCGGTGCGTCTTGTCTTAGGGGTATGATGGTGATGATGATGATGATGATGATGATGATGATGATGATGATGATGATGATGATGATGATGAAGATGGTGATGGTGATGGTGATGATGATGGTGATGATGATGATGAATGGTGCTGATGATGATGATGATGATGATGATGATGCTGTAGTTGATGATGGTGATGGTGGTGATGGTGATGACGGTGATGATGATAGTTGTGATGATGATGATGATGACGATGATGATGATGATGATGATGATGATGATGATGGTGATGATGATGATGATGATGATGATGATGATGATGATGATGGTGATGGTGATGGTGATGGTGATGGTGATGGTGATGGTGATGGTGATGGTGATGGTGATGGTGATGGTGGTGATGACAATGATGATGGTGGTGATGGTGGTGATAATGATGATGATGAGGAGGAGGAGGGAACTGTCTTTTGGGGGGGAGATCGGCACGCCGAGGATGCTCACCTCAGGTGGTCAGGCATCGGCTCCATCAGGTCCTCCAGCGTCGCATCCCGGCTGGGAATCCGCTTCAGCCAGCGCCGCCTCCTCTCCAGCTGGCGGGCCTGCGCCCGAGCGCGCTCCTGAGTATCGTTCATCTGATCCCCATCCCCAGCGGCGTGGCCTGGGTCCCACTGGCCGATCTGCCCCCCTAGATGGGGATATAGGTCGTTCCCTTCGGGTTTCGAGGGGCGTGTTCCCAATTGGGGTGGTAGTCTGGTGGGGGTCTCGAATGGGGATGGGGATGGGGATGGGGATCGCTTGAACGACACCGAGCTCCTGCTCCAGCGTGACCCGCAGGCGCGCCTCGAGCCGCAGAGCACGGCGGACCCTCTGCAGGGACCGGGAGAAGCGGGCCTGCAGCCGGGCGCGCTCGCCCAGGGCGGCCCGCTGGCCCTTCCGCTGCTCCCGCTCCTCGGGGAACGAGGGGCGGCACGAGCTGAAAAGCTCGGAGGTCCGCGCGGAGTTCTCGCACGAGCATCAAAACTCGGAGGTCCGCGCGGATTTCTCGCATCCGCGCTGGGAGCCCCTGGCGGCGCCTGCGGCAACGTCCCTGGCGCGCTGCGCGCGCCAGGGGGGGGGGTCCAGCGCCGATCCGAGACATCCGCGCGGACCTCCGAGTTTTGATATTTACAGTAGAGGCCAGTCGACCAAAAACCTTCCACAAGAAACCCAACCCTGAGACCCCAGGACGTCCATTGGTTTTTGGTGGGTGCGGGAGCGTCACGCTTTCCACAGCTAAACCATCGAAACCCAAGAAACCCAGGGCACCCTGGAGGCAAGCAAGATGTTTCGTGGCATGGGCCCTCACTGTATGTCATTCTTCGTTCCCCTAGCTCCATCATTCGCGAGACGGCCGGCTCCGCGATGTGCCTCAGCGCGTCGACGAAGCCGGCTGCCTGCTCTGCGCTCAGCGGCCTCTTGCGCTTGTACCCCGGGTGCTGCAGGAGCTCCACCCAGCACGCTCGCAGGGAATGCCACCCCAAAGTCCTCACCTCGAGCAGCCTCGCCCTCCAGGCCAAGGACTCCTCCCAGGGAAGGACGGGCGTCTCAGCCCTGCACTTGCAATCGTTTCTGCCGAGCTGTATCTTGGCAGTGCAGTACATGCCCATCTCTTCTCTCGTCATGTTGCTGGCCGCAAGGACGCTGTCGCAAGCCTCTCGCAGAATGGCTGTAGTGTGGGGGCCGTGCTTATTTTGATGACCCTTGCGCAGCTTGTTCGCCATATCTCTGATCTGCACCAGAAGGATGTGTTGCTCCAGGGCAACCTGGAAAGACTCCTGAGATCTTGTACGGCACGCCAGGTTCCAGAAAGAGCAGCTCGCATAATAGGAGCGACGACTCTCGTTCTGCACCGCCACGACGCCCCTCACGTAAGATCGTGCGGGCGTGGAGCCGTCTCCCGAGGTAGACGGGGGCCGATGATCCGGCGACACCCCGCTCCCAATCGGAAGCGGGCCCTGCGACTCTTCGCAGTCGCTGCCCGACGCGGAAGACTGCCGCTCCAGCTCCTCGCTGCCGGACCGCAGCAGCGGATCGGGTGGCGCCCCGAGCGCGCGAGGCTCGCCGCCCGGTGGCCTCCGGCACCACCCCATGAAGGACAGCAGCCTGGCCCGGACGTCGCGCTCCATCCCGTCCAGCGCCGCCCGCCGCTGCTCCACACACATGGGCCCGGCTGCACGCGGGAGGCGGCCCTGCGCAGGAGTGGCGCCGGGCAGGAGTGCCAAGAGGGGGGGCGCCGCGGGGAGGCCGAACGCCGGCGCGCGCGCGCCCGTTGGTGCGGCGAAGTGGCCCCTCCGTGGGACCCCGCACCATGTACACAGAGAGGGTCACCCCGGCGAGGGGCCACCCTCCACGCGCAGCCGAATGGCCTGCAGGCTTGCCCTCACCTGCTCCAGCCCTTCCACGATGGCAGAAGAAGAGAAACTGGGACGCACAGAGACACACTAGTACTACATGTCCTCCTTGGAGGCGCGCGTCCGACCCGAACATCTCATTTACCCATCTTGTAGTAGATCGTTTCCCGAGCGGTGTGACCAGAAAGCGCCCACCACGAGGCTTATACTATAAGATTTCTCGGTGCGTGCGTCGCCCCTGGGGGGGTAACGCACACATAGTATTACTATTTAGTATGTTGAGGTAACGCCGAAGGAACGTCACGAAGATAAACTTTCCAAGGTCCACACAGCTCTCTTGGAGCGGCGCTGGAGGCGTTGCCCGAAGGGGGGTCCATCGCCGATCCAAGAGCTCTGCGCGGGCCTCCGCGCGGAGTTCTTGAACCTTGTTCGCGACCACTGTCGACCGCTAGGTCGACAGCGGTCACTGGCAAGATGTCGCTCTCCCTGTGATCGACAGTTTGACCTTGCCGGTCTCCACTACTGGAAAGTTTACAGCCATCGTGCTGCCACAAGGAACGCATCATGAGGAACGAAGGGGCTCTCCTTCTGGGATGGAAAGAACCCCCTTTAGCAGAGCGCGGCTCAGTGAAAACGACCTCGGGCCGAAACCTGGCGGGCGCAAGCCTGGCAAATGCCGAAAACGGACAATCCCAGACATCCGGCGTCGTGAGTTTCTCAAGACGGCTTCCCCGGAGGCCTGGACCTTCCCCCTGGGGCTGGCTCTTTATCCCGAGTCGTTTTTGACGGTTCCGGGGCCCGTCGAGGCCCCCCAGAGGCCGAAAACTACGAAAAACCTCCGTCTCGAGTTTCTCGAGACGTTGGAGCTTTGGGATTCGCTAGTCGACGTGTCAGGGTGGGGGTTCTGTCCACCCCCGACGCCTGGTCACGGCGGGCCTGGGCCAGAAACGGGCTCCAGAACAGGACGACGAGGAGGACGAGGAGGACGAGGAGGACGAGGAGGACGAGGAGGACGAGGAGGAGGAGGAGGAGGACGAGGAGGACGATGAGGAGGAGGAGGAGGAGGAGGAGGAGGAGAAGGAGGAGGACGCCAAGGAGCGGAAGCCGACCACCCGAGCCCCATCCGGAGCCCCACGCGGTCCTCGCCTCAGCGTATTGGCTGCATGTGCTTGTGCAAGTCTTGGAGGCTTGGAAACTTGGGGGCGTCCAAGAGGGGGGCGTCCAAGAGGGGGGTGCCAAGCTAGGTGCGCTCGCGTCATATCTGACATCCTACCCCTCTCTCCCATCCCTTACCATGGCGTAGATCCCCTCTCTACTCGCACAGTCGGATGTCGAGCAGGGCAATGATCCCGAAAGGGTACGCGATGCATTGTAGAGCACGGCATGGCATGGCGTAGAAGAGCACCGCAAAGCGTAGTATGTCATAGCATGGCGTGGCGTGGCGTAGTGAAGAATTGCATCACAAAGCTTTGCAACGCAAAGCATGGCATCGCACAGCGGCCCCGAACATAACATTGCATAGCATGGCGTTGAAGATCAAAGCGTAGCATGGCATAGCATGACGTGGCACTTAAGCACTGGATATGACAGCTGCAGCTGAAGGCATGGCATCGCGCAGCGGAACGCAACCTAGCATTGCATTGCATGCCGTGGCATGGCACGGGAAATGACGCCAGCGCTGCAGCGGGAGCACGATTCGGAACGAGCGGAAGCGCGGAAATGAGGCCAGCGCTGCAGCGGGAACACGATTCGGAACGAGCGGAAGCACGGAAATGAGGCCAGCGCTGCAGCGGGAGCACGATTCGGAACGAGCGGAAGCCCGAAAATGAAGCCCGCGCCTCACCGAGAGCATCATTTTGAACAAAAAAACCAAGCGAAAACCCAACTCCGGGAAATCCTGTGTGTTAAAAAAAAAAACAGTACGCGGAGGGGTGCCCGATATCTTCCGCATGCCATCAGGGGATGGAGGAGAGTAGTATTCATATTGTGTAATTGTAAATCATGACCGGCGGCACGTGCGAGGCCCAGAGGGGGGGGGGCTGGGGATGTAATGAAATGAGAAGAGCCGCCATGAAATGTGGGGAGACATCATGGCCCCCGCCATGATATCCAGCCCCCCCCAGTCATCACCCCCCCTCTTTGCCGCCCCCGAGAGACGGACACCGACACCAAAACAGGGGGCTGTCTCCACCAGAGGAAGATGATCCGAGAGTTCGGTGCTTGTGGCAATCCTCTGGTCGCCTAGGAAGCGCGAGTATATAGTACCACCACCACCGAGATCGGGGGATCCTCTTCCCTCGGTGGCAGCACACCGCCGATCCTGGTGACGGTGTCCACCTCTGGGCCCCTGAAAGTTTTAGAGGAACGAAAAATGGCATAAGCATAACAACTCGGAGGTCCGCGCGGATTGCTCGGATCGGCGCTGGACCCCCCTCCCTAGCGCGCGGAGCGCGCCAGGGGCGGCGGCGGAGGCGCCGCCAGGGCGGTCCAGCGCCGATCCGAGAAATCCGCGCGGACCTCCGAGTTTTTATGTTTATGTCATTGTTCGCTCCCCTAAGTAAGGGAGGGGGGAGGACAAGGATCCCTTGGTGGCGGAGAGGACGAGGAGGACGAGGAGCTGGAGTGGGGCAGGGGAGGAGGGGGGCGAGGGAGGAGCAGGAGGGCGAGGCGGGGGGCGAGGGTAAGGCTCGTCCCGAGGAGCTCCGACCAGTTCTCCCCCTTCTGGACGAGCTCCGCCGCCCTCGACGCCTCCGCCTCCAGCTGCTCCACCCGCCTCGGGCCCGCCGGGCTCGCGCCGCCGCGCTCGCTCCGCCGCCTCCGCCCCCGCGGGCTCCGGCTCGCCGACGGGGCGCCCGCGGGGGGCCCGGCGCTCGGCGCGCACGGCGGCGGCGCCGCCGCGGGGCTTTGCGGCCCGCCGGCCCACGCGCGGCTCGCGGGCGCGTCGCGGGGGGCGCCGCCGCGGTCGTGGCGGCGGCGGCGGTCGTAGGAGGCGCGGGCGGCCTCGTCCTGGGGCGACGAGGGATCTCTGCATGGGCGATTATTTGGACACCCTGAGCCCGAAAACGTTTTTTCATCTCCTGGGGGCGCCTTTTTTTTATTTCCGCCGCCTTCCGCCGAGCGTCCGCCGGCTTCCGCCAGCGGAGGCGGCCTCGTTTCACTTCCGCCGGCCTTCCGCCGCCCTTCCACCGCCTTCCACCGTGGAAGAGATGACAACTCTCTCGATCCTCGAAGGCACTGCCCTGTTTGGAACCCCATCAATATCCGCCGCTCCAGGCCAGGCCCATGCTGGGCCCAGGAGCTGTGCAGATGCTTCCGCGCCGCTCGTGCTCGGCGCGCCCAAGTGGACGACGCCGACACCACAGCAATCCCACGGCAACCCCTGCGTCCCGCGACGAAGGAGGCACAGCCGGCGCCGCGGCAAACTGCACGGCAAGCCCTGCGTCCGAGGCGGAGTTTGCCCTGGTGGCCGCGACGCCCTCGCCAAGGCGCAAGGCCGCGCGTCGGAACAAGCGGCGCGGCGACATCTACACCTTACCACTGCGCCCAGGGACTGCGTGCATGCCTCCCTGGCCGAGACAGGAGGGCGTCTGCACCGATCCCCGGCCCAGGATGGGCCTGGCCCAGGGGCAATGGACGTGTAGGTCTCGCATCCACATCCGCGCCCTCGCGGTCTGGATTCCCGAGCGCTACCCCGCGGATACGCGGTCGCATGTACAGTGGAGACCCATGCAAAGAAAAAACGCTACACTGCTTGCCTCCAGGGTGCCCCGGGTTTCTCGGGTTCGGTGGTTTTGCTATGGAAAGCGTGACGCCCCCACACCAAAAATCAATGGACGTCCTGGGGTCTCAGGGTTGGGTTTCTTTTGGAAAGGTTCTTGTGGTCGAGCCCCTATTGCCTTATTGTATATGATACCGGAGAAAAGCCCCAATCAGAATCTTATTAAGACTGTAGGGCTATGGGGCTGTAGGGCTGTAGGACCATAGGGCTATAGGTCTGTAGGGCGATAGGGCTCTAGGATTATATAAAGCTGTAGGGCTACATGGCTAGGGCTATAGGGCCATAGGGCAATAGGGCAATAGGGCTATAAGGCTATAGGAATATAGGGCTATAGGGGTATAGGGGTATGGGGGTATAGGGGTATAAGGCTATAAAATTAGAAGGCTATGGGGCCATAAGGCTATAGGGCTACCGGGCACCCGGGCACGCGGGCACCTGGACACCAGGGCGCCCGGGCGGGCCGCGGAAATCGGCGGCGCACCTCACCTATACCATGTGAACCCGCTAGGACCCCTAGAGAGGCAAGCTCTGATAAGGGAACATTCCGCGCGGGGCATCCGTGAAAACACGCGCCCCGTATCCGCGGGGTCGCGGCCGAGGGGCCTATGGCACGCGAGGCCTCGGGTACAGACATGTTTTTCGCCCACGACGTCCGACAACGTCTCGAAGGCCAAGGCCACGAGGCGGAAGGCGTCCGGGGAGCCGCCGGACTTGTCCGGGTGGGTGAGGAGCGCGGCCTTGCGGTAGGCTGCCCGGATGTCCGCGGTGGTCGCCTCTGGGCTTACGCGCAGAACCCCGTAGAGGTCGGTGCCAAGGGCGAGGTAGCGGCTCATGGGTCATCAAGGTGCCACAGTGCACGGTGGCACTGCCATCAAGGAAAAAAGGGAAGCAGCGCGCGGCAACCGCGGTGGGCAACGGCAACAAGAGCCACTCACACCACATCAAATTACATCTGAGCGACGATCAAAAACCGGTTGTACGCGAGATGGCATAGCGACCTTACGCGGCGGCGCACGTGGGCCGCCCGCGCGGC